TTACTATTACTATTATTTTTTCAGGATACTTATGTTGCGGAGTGCATAGATAGTCATGGCTCTGATGCTAGTTCGTGGCCACGCATGGATAACGAGGCATGGGTTAAGGCTGTTGGAGGTTGCTCATTTAATTTCATGCCAGGGATTGGCTCCCAAGTAAATCCAGAGATGGTTGGTTTTACTTACAGAAAGAGATAACCCCGAGAAAACTTAATAGCAGCACTGATGGCATCTGACTATGAGGAGACACATGCAAAAGATCATGAGGAGTTAGAAAGACAACGCCAACAAATTGCTTTGATGCAACAACAGCTGGCCAATATGACAGAAGCTCAGAATAATATGAGCTAGACAATCGCACAGTCTGTTGCAGCAGCTTTAGCCGCTCATGGCATCTCCCCTCAGGCAGGTCATCATCCAGTTGCCCCACCACAGCCGTCACAGGGTCCTGGCTCAGGTCTTCGCATGAATTCAGCTTTCACCTACTCCACTGATTCTACACAAACCTCTCCTATGGTCCCTGAATATCAACAGCAGCGGCAGTTTCCGCCTCAAGATGATGAGGCATACCATCCTACTTTTGATCCAGACTATCAGGGTCCTTAGTTTTTTTATTTTTCTGCTACGCACATTATCTGCATACTTTGCATGGTTGACTTTATTTCTATTAGTACTTTAAACTGTTAGCATTAGCTTTTATTACGATATATTTTCTTATTTTGCTTGACCTCTAGTGATCATACTTCAAAAGGTATGAAGTTTTGGACTGCTTTGGAGGTTAATTATTATTAACTAAATATCGTGGGTATTTAAAACATTGGTGTGTGATTGCCATACATACTTTGTGGTTGTAGTTGTGGTTGAAAATGTATAATTGTTTTTAGCATACTAGACTTGTAGAATATATGTGTTTTTCATTGCAAATGCAAGTAAAAAAAATTGGTTTTGATCATATGTATGGGGGAAACTCTGTCAAATTTTTTTTAGAATTTATACCAACTAAAATGACCAAATTACAAAAAAATCTATTGAATAAATTTCAAATTATTGCATTTTTTATCAAAAAATTGTAGTATTGCAAATACAAATTTAAAAAAAAAATACATTTTATCATATCTACGGGGGAATTTTGATAATTTTTTTAAAATTTTATGTCCACTAACATCTAAGAAATCATAAACAGAGAAATTCAGAAAATGGCATGAAAACGAAATATGGAAAGGAACTTAGGCAAAATGGACAAAATCTGGAGAGGAAGCTGCTGAATTGTTACCGGCCATACTAGAAACGTACTCCTAGTCGGTAAAAACAGTTTCCAACTTGTATCTTGTCGGTAAAATGCTATCTTCCAACTTGCATCTTGTCGGTAAAGTTGTAAAAAATAACCAACAGGAAGCTGGTCGGTAATTTGGGCGCCAATTGCAAAAATTTTGGTTCCCGCTCTCAGTCACTTAGCCATGCAATGTTTGTCGGTGAAAAGGATACCGACTAAATACACATGGGTAAGTTGCCATATATATACCCCCAGCACTCTACCCGGCTTATTTCTTCTTGTCTTCCTTTTTATTCTTCTTCTTTTTCTTCTCCTCCGGCTTCCTCCTCTTTTCTTCCATTCAATGCTGCTGGATTAATTGTTTATATATGTTTATAATTACATTATTGATATAATTTTAGGTTGATATTTTTTCAATCTCCTCTCTTTTAATTTTCTCTTTCATTATTTCTCCTTATTTGATTAAATATTAATATGTGTTATTTTATTTGTTTTCCAGGAAACATTAGGAGATAATCAATGGGGTAAGCAAATTTTCTTTGTGTAAATTTTATTTATATAAGCCATTAGAGATATTAGGGTTGAAATTAATTATACATAAATACTAACTTAATTTATGTTTTTTT